TAGTGTGATGATTTATTAGCTAGAGAATGATCTTTAGAAGTGGGTAGGTGGATAGTTCCGTTAGAGTACGGCAGTATGAAAATTGAATAGAAGTTGAAAATGAGCGAAGGGCCATTAAAGCGACAGTTTTCAAGATAGACGCACATTTTTGCTAGGCATGTACGCGGGGACTTGAAGTATGTCTCCAAGTCCACAGGCAAAAATGTGCGTCCCTCTTGTTGCTCATAAACTGACTGCGGCTGTGGAATAGTTCTAGCGACGTTTTCATCACTACCTAAAGCCCCACGTCGCGAGAGCATTTCCAGTCGATGGTGTGTTATAATGCAGTTCTTCTTTACCCAACTATTGTGTTGCTCCTTTCGTCATGACCAACGTGATCATCTCAGAGAGAAAGCAGTAGGGTGGTTGTTGCGTGCTGTACCATCATCAGCATTGTTGACGGCTACTATCAAAAGTAAATAATTCCATCATGAATTACCGGAAAATTGCTCTAGCTTCGACATACGTATTTGCTTTTATTATTTTAAATAAAATTAGAAGGAGAATGTAAACTTTGTGGAACAGGATATGGTTGCTCAGGAGGAACACCGGCAGGGATCTGGTCCTTCAAGAACTGCGATATGAAGATGAAAAAGGATTTAAAAACTTCGTCAGGATGTCGATACCAACCTTCGACAAGGTAGTGGGTAAAGTACTCTATAGATCTAAATGATTCCTTGAGTTATGAAATTCTGCATGTTTCTCTGAAGACTTTCGGACGTCCCTGATGTTTTGTTTCTGTTCTCTGATAATATATCTTCAGAGATCAACAAACTTTCCTGAAGATCTGCAAATTTCTCGGTAGTTCTGTGGATTTCTTTGAAGTTCTTTGTGTTCTTCAGATGTTCTGCAAATTTCTCTAAAAATGTACAAAGTTCCTGAATCCCTGCAGATTTAGGATCCTTAAAGATCAACAAGTATCTCTGATGTTCACTAAATTTCTTATAATCTGTGCACTTCTCGAAAGCTTTGTAATTTTCGGTGTAGATTTTCATGATTGCAAATATCTCCGAACATCTACACAATTCCCTAAAGTATTAAAAGTTTACCCAGAAATTTTTAAGCTTCCCGGAAGATTTAGAAAGTTCTCTGAAGATCTGAAGTTGTGCAAATATCTCTAAAGATCAGCGAACTTCCATGAAGCTCTGTAAATTTCTCTTAACATCCAAGAACCACAATAAAATTTTGAAAATTTATTTAAACATCTGCAGATTTACGATCTACTCTCTGAACTTTTCCGAAGTTCCTAAAATTTCTTTAAAATTCTGAAAAGTTTTCTGAAGTACTGTATTTCTGATCTGTAGATTTCCAAACCTCTCTAACGTTCTGTAAATTTCTTTGTGGATTCTTGGATTTCCATAAAGTTCTGCAGATTTATCTGAAATACCCCAAAGCTCTACAAATTATCTGAAAATATATGAACATCGCTGAAGTTTTTTAAATTTCTCCGAAGATTTACAAATTTCTCTAAAGTTGTGTAAATACTTCTAAAGATCGGCGAACTTTCCTGAACTTCTATGAGTTTTGCTGAAGCTTTGCATTTTTTTCTCAAACTGTGCGAACTTCCTGAAGTTCTACAGACTTCTCTTAAGATCTACGGACTTCTCTGAAGTTCTTCAGATCTATCCATTTCCAACTTCCATGGAGTTTTGCAAAATCTTGGACTTTCGAATTGAAGTACTTTTGTGAAATTTTTCGATTTTTTCTGAGGATCTCACATTTTTCTGTGAAGCTTTCTGAACCACTGAATGTCTCTGAAGTTCTGCAAAATTCCTAGCAGTTCTGCAGATTTCTCTTAATACCTACTCTTCTGAAGTTCTGTAAATATCTTCGAAGTTCTGTAATGTTGTCTGAAGCTCCGTAGTTCTATCATAGAGGTAACTCTAAGACCAGAAGGTCCCGAAGAAACGAGCTCAACTTTTTGACTCAGCTCTGGTACTATTTTCGGTCCCAAGCTAATCGATTCACCCCTAGAAACATAGGAAAATCCACTAACCCCTCATTTTATCTGTCAAACTTTCATAGCGAATCAAAACAAACATAGTGTAGTACTGGAATTTATACTAGAATGGGGTACGTTAGTCGATTTGTTTGGGACCAATAGGCTAGTCAAGTAGTGAGCCAATTTAAAATCGTTAGTTTCGTATTGATTGTTGGTTCTATTCTCAAGATCTACAATAAAAACCTTGAGGCTCCAATAAATTTCTCGGTAGATCTGCAAACTTCGCTGAAGTTTTGTAAATTCCTCTGTATTCTCTCGGGCTACCCTGAAGATCTGAACATTTCCTTGAAGATCTTCTAAATTACCTAAAGTACTCAAAAATTTATCTGAACACATTTGAGCTTCCTTGAAGTTTTAAATGTTTCTCTCAAAACCTACAAATTTCCCTATAAATACTTTAAAAAAATCACCAAACTCCCCTGAAGGTCTTCAAATTTATCTGAATATCTATGACCATTAGAGTGATGCAAAATTTGAAATTTTCACTCCACAATACTTAAACGATTCCAAATCGGATCCTGACTAACCTCTCAAAATTTGTACACATTTGGTGAGAAACTGAGATGGCACAAACCATTTGAAGTTTGTATGGGAATTACTATGGTAAAACCAAGATTTTTGTTCATGTCTATCTAATAATTCACCATATCGGTCTGCTTTCAACTTTACTTGTAGGAAATATTTCCAGCTTCAACATTGCTGAAGACCACTTTTTGATTAAATGCAAGGATCGAAAGTTATTAATGGTTCAATGCACTGATGTCTTATGATCATGCTCAATCAACTGCTCAGCAGGCAACATTGGTGTTTCTGGGGCGTTGAATAGGACACAAAAATCATGGCTACTATGTCACACTTCAAAATACAGTGTTGCCTACAGAGCAGCTGCTTGATCATGTCATAAGTTTACCAATCTCTTAAATAATTAATAACTATTTCCTGTCTCGTTTTACATAGAAACTATCTTGAGCAAAGTTGTAGCTGAGAAAATTTTCTATAAGAATAGTTATCGAGCTGTTTTACAGCTCAATATGGAAAAAGACTAGAAGGTAATGAACAAAAAGTTGAGATTTCCCATAGTAATTAACATGTAAACTTCAAATGGTTTGTGCGAAGTCTGTTTCTAACCAAATGAGTTGTAACTTTTGGAGGCTAATCACGACCCGATTTGAAACCATTTAAGCACTGTGGAGCGAAAAAGTCAAATTTTGCATCAGTCTAATGACCATTCTTGCGATTTTTTCAGAAGTTTTGTATTTTTTTTTCAAAATTCTGTAGCTTTCTTCTGAAGATCTTCGAACTTTTCTGATGTTGAATAATTTTTCAGTAGCTCTCCAAACTTTTGTGAAATTCTTTACATTTCACTGTAGATTCTTGGACTTGTCTGAAGTGCTGCGGATTTCGCTGAAGATTTTAAATTATTTCGCTTATAGTTTTACAAATTGATCTGAAAATATTTTAGCTTGCTTGAAGTTTTGAAAATTTCTATGATCATTTATATGAAGATCTACGATCTCTCTTGAGAATTTTTCTGAATTTCTGCAAATTTATTTTATTTTCTGCAAAATTTTCTGCAGTTTTGAAGTTGATCTACGCTGAAGCTCAACAAATTTCTCAGTGGATCTCCGAACCTCTTTGAAGCTCTAAAAAATTCTTAGTAGGCTCTCAGAGCGGCCAATGACACTGGCAAATAAAAATCAGTCAAATCATACACAGGACAATATTGAATAGGGAAATAGGCTAGGAATTCGGCTTACCTTGCTGTTGGGTGCCATAAAAACACAAGTCAAACGTTCTTTAGCGGTTCAAACCCGTGTAATTAAAAAAAAATCAATATTTTTATCTCAATTGCGGCTGTTTGCTGAACCAGTCGAGTGAAAATTAAACAAAAACCTATTTCGTTTGACAAATCAAACGTCAACTCTAATCATCATGTCGAAAAAGTGTGAACGCATCCGAACATTGCATCCGACTAAATTATCGAGCAGTCCGCTCGAATCAGACCAACAAATCAGATAGTCGTACGTAAACGTAAACGATAAACGTACCTTAAGGAATCGACTATATTCAAAATAATCAGTTTTTCCCAAAATGAATTTGATTATTTTGCTTATGAGGATCGCTTCTGATTTTGACAATTTTGGGTTGGATAATCAAACAGTGGTGACTATCAACAAACGCGTATTCGTTGATGTATAATGAACTCATTTGTTCGTTTCGCTCGTACTTCACAGCGAAGATTTTCAAAACGAACTACACTGGGTTGAAGCTGGAAGAGGACGTGCTGTCAAATCAGCCTACTGATCATTCTTGTATGAAATTGGTTCCAAACGTAAACAAACCGTGTAGGATTCTTGTCGCTTGTTTACGTTTGGAACACACGACGAATGAGAACGACTCAAATTTGAGTTTAGTTCACTCATAATCGCCAAAAGTGCAGGAACTCAGCGATGAGTTAATTTGCCTCATGTTTTCCCAGGTTTTTCCAGGATTTTCCAGGGAAAAATTCGCGAATTTGAGAAAAGTTAAGATTGGATTCACTCAGTCTATTGGTACTACTCCGAGACTGAATAAAATTTTCGTCAATTTCCTCATTTTCTGGCAGATTTTTTAGGTTTTCCACAGGAAACCATGGGACAAATTTTACTCATCGCTGAGTTCCTGCACTTTTGGCGATTATGAGTGAACTAAACTCAAATTTGAGTCGTTCTCATTCGCCGTGCAGTTATACGAGGTAGGCGACGATTGTCCGTATTTGACAGCCACATCCCACCCCTGGGTTGAAGCGCTACTCCTTGCGTTTGATGGTAAGATAAAAACAGACACTGCTATATGCCCAGGGAAGTCGAGAAATTTTCCAACCCGAAATAATGCCTAGACCGCACCGGGAATCGAACCCAGCCCTCGTAAACTTACTAAACTATAGCCAACGGAAGGCCAGATAACCATAGGTACTTACCCAAAGTGCCAGGAAGATACGGACAGCTAGTGACGTGGTTGAAGTTCTGACTCTGCATCTCCTCCTGATCCGTCTCACGATGGTAGAAGTAGTTGAAGTTGCTGACGATGACCGGTACCGGCAGTGCAATCGTGAGCACACCGGCAATCGCACACAACGACCCGACGATCTTACCCCACACACCGACCGGCCTAGAGAGGAATACACACAGAACGATATGTTAGACCAAGAAGTGCGAGGCTCTTCCGAGCGCGAAGAAAGGAACGCAAAATGATCCGCGTCTGTTTCTTCTTTATTTTTTTTATATATAACTCCAGCTGCGCTTGAGCCCTTTTTAAAAACAAAACATATGCTTAAATGGAGCTGTTGAAATGTGTGTACTTATGGCGGAGGACTGAGAGAGAGAGAGAGAGAGAGAGTTAAGCGATAGACACGAGGGATGATTCACGAGGGGGTGAGAGGGGGTGGTTGTCACGCACGCGGCTTTATGGTAGAGGAAGGGGAGGGGGGATTTCGTGGGGCTGGGAGGGTGACATTACACATGCAATTTGCAGCGATTTTGCATGCATATTGTGGAAGAACAAGAGAGTGCAAGAACACTTAAGAAGCTGAGGGGTGACAACGGAAAGTGAGCATACGAACGAGCATTTTGACATTCAATTCTACGATGCAAGTAGTAGGCGGGATAGTAGCAGATGCAGGAGCAAACATCGATTTTCACTTAAAAATGCTTACACATTGGCATTACACTTTCGGAAAAGCAGGCTTGGAATGTGGGCGAACTTAAACGGAAAGCAACGGTGAATGCATTCAAACCATGACTGAAAACTACTAAAAACGAAAATCAACCGATATTTTGAACGGAAAAAAATAAAGCCAACCAAATGAAAATTTCAATGAAACAAAATTGATCCAATTGTTTTTTTTTTTAAAGATGAAGGATGAGCTATTTTTCTCCACATGATGTTTCTTTTTTTTTCAAAATGGAGGAAGTTGCCTTCCTGTGAGATAAAGTAGTAAAAGTAGCGGTATGAAGTAGGAATTGTTTTGTTCCAGCTGGGTGCATTTTGAATTCGTAGCATGTTTCGCCAATTTACGGGAAGTAAATTTTGCTTTTCTGTTTCCAATTGAGGGTGGCTGTTTTTTTAGAGCAAAATTTGCATGCAGCTAGTGAAACTGCCTCAATTGAATATTTTCGCTTTAGAATTTGATTTGGCAAAATACTAAATCGAAGCAGTGCGTTTCGTTTTGGTGTTTTTGGTTTTTTGGGTTAGATACCATCTATTCTACGTTGCTGTTGTTGTTTTGTTAGGTGAGCCTAGTTTGATTGCACATGGAATGGTGATGAATACAGGTCCTAGTAAAAGTTCCCATGTCCGGGTTACAGAAAGAACAGGACATTCGGACAACGAGGGGTTACTGCGCGACTGCGGGTCTAGTTATACTACTAATATGCTGATGATGAGAAATCTACCAGGGAGACACTTTGGTTTCGGTTATGAACGGACAGTAACGAGAACGAGACGTGTATTTTTTTTTTGGGGTGGATGATTTGGGGGTGGGTGGACAGAGGGTGGCATGTGTCACGTGAACCCATTTTATGCGATCAACGTCATTCTCCCTGTCTACTTATGCTGCTTGCATGAGCGACGGCCGAGAACGTGAAAAGTGTATGGCAAATATAATTGAATCGTTTTCGCGCGAGTTGGATGAAATATGAGCAAATATTGATATTTGTGTAGAAGAATGTATATTTATATATATATGACAGAGGAACAAGAGGAAGCAAGTTGTACGGAATTATAGAGATATTATAATGTGGATTATAATGCAGATGTGGCAAAGTGAGCTGATGTGGTGGTGGATGGCACGAGTAGAGTAGTTGTTGAAAGAGAGAGATCACGGCATATGCACGAAAAAGTGAGGCCAAAAATCAGGAAACAATTGAAAACGATATGTGTGACTGTGGTGTATTTTTGTGTGTTTGTTGGCATGTAATGTAGGTAGGTACTCGTAGGCGATGGCAAACAAAAGATGGAAAAGAAAACTGACAGCATAAATCAGAGATATTGAGCGAAACGTACGTCATGTCACCATATCCCACAGTAGTCATGGTAACCACAGCCCACCAAAATGCATCTGGTATGGACTTGAAGAATGAATTTTCGCTTCCTGCTTCCGCAAAATAAACAGCCGATGAGAAGAGCACAACGCCTAGAAAGCATCGGAGAGAAAGAGAGAAAGAAAGGGAAGCGACCATTACTCAAACGATCGATTATTGACCAACTAAGAATTTTGGCATTCCTCTACTACTCCCGTCGACTGACACCGATCTTCCGATTTCGAGCTTTCAAGCGTTTCCGAGATTCTTGTTTTTTCATGTTATCACCGATTTACGATTCTCGCAATCACACTCACACTCAGGTTAACTTTTATCTCTTTTAATACATTCTATTACTGTTCGGAAAGATTTCTTTTTTTAAATATTGCTTTTTTTTCCTTGCTCTAATCCCACCGCGAAAGCCACCAGCATGTAATTGGAAATAGTTTAACCGCGTGGAGAAAATTTTCGTTGATTTCTTTTTGCACTGTTTTTTTCCGGTTTAATACGTTGACGTTCGTCGATAGGAGGAAAACCCTTTCTCGGAGCCGGGTGTACTTGTTTTTGAAGGGGAAATGGGAACTGAAAAAACCTGAACTTATAATTTGAAGCACTAGGGAAAAGAAAATGAAATCTTAAAGTATTAAAATTGAAAACCAACCAACCAATGGAAATGAACTGTTGAAAATAAAAAAGGAAACTATGAATGATTTTAGAAAACACAAGAATTACACATTCACTTGACGATATCGAACAACATCAAGTTCGGTCCTTTTGTTTCTAGTTGCTGGGGGAAACGGAAACATCGAGTAGGCGGATCGGAGCGGTAGAGTTCTTTGGTGATCTCATTTCTCGTGCATCGTGTGAGAAGGGCCTATGTGCCAAATGTAAACAATGACTTTAAACGTCGATTACTCACGAATCACAACACACTTATGCAATCCAACTACACCGTCTAATAGAACAAACTGCTTCTATCAGATGCTATTGTTGGTTTGCTGAATGCCGTAAGAAATAGACGTTTCAAGTCACACGTTTCACATGTTACTTACATGTTATGATTTCTTTATATCAAGTTGATGGGTTCCATTAGGGTGAAACAAATGTTAATTTCCGTCTATTTCACGCTGATTACAAAAGATAATCGGGTTGTGACAAATGGTCGAATGCACGAAATTTCAAATGGGCAAAAGGTCAAAATTGACAAAAGGTTGAAATGGACAAAAGGTCAAAAAAATTAAAAGTTTAAAAAAATAAAAATTTTGAAAAGTCAGAAAACCAATATGCTGAGTAACATATCTGAAATACTAGGAAGTTATTTCACTCTCTTGGAGTTAATTCTTGCTTTATAACATTAACAAATACAATCTACTGAGCACTCAATTCCAAAGTGCTCAAAAGTTCGTTCGACCTTCTGTCCATTCGATCTTTTTACCATTTTGACCTTTTCTCCATTCAACCATTTGTCATTCGACTGTTGCCATATATTCACATCATCGTCGCTCATATTTCAAGACAGGCTATTCGCGTTCAATGTCATTTATATAAAGTCCGAGCTTATTGGTGTTAGTGAAATGTGCAAATGCTTAGTGGATTTTTATGAGAACAATAATATGCTGCAGAGGGTTTTTCAAACACGCATCCATAGAGATAAAGCTGGGTTTAGACAGGGCAAGTCAATTGGTCAAGTCAGTTGAATTCAACTGACTTGAACGCGAATTGAGAGTGTAAACCATGCCATTCAACTGACTTGATCAACTCAGTTGAATTGAAAAAAGTTGAACCAGGCTCAACTTTTCAAGCCAATTGAATTCAACTGAGTTGATCATTTGACTTGCTTAGTCTAATCCCAGCTTATGACATTCGGCAGTGAGTTATTTAAGGGTGACAGATTTTGTGTTTTTGAAAAAAAAAAAAGCAATGGAAGCGCCTTCTTGCGAGCTGGAAAATCCAGAAACTGCGCAAAACCATCGACCCTGCGTTGTTTTTTTAATCAACAACAGTTACCATATAAAAAACTGTTTGAATCGTTTTAATAGTTTTTTATAGGGCAAATGGCTCTAATGTTGGCCTATGGATCTAAGATTGGGCCCATCGCTAAAAATTAGCTATATATCATTTTTTTCAAGGGGGACGACTCTATCTACGATGCAGAAAAGATTGTGTTTTGCTGTGGTTAGCTGCACGTACGCTGAGTAGATAGAAAGAAGATTGATGACGATTCTGTTTATTTCCTGCAAAAAAATGATGCGCGATGCAAGCAGATGCGACAAATGAAAGAAGATTTTTCGAAGATTGATTCGCTAGTGTGAGATTTGTTGAGCATCTACACTGAAACAAATCGACATGTACCGTTTATTGGATCCATCTTATAACATAGCAATGTCAGCATATTTATTCATTCTATGTGATGATTGATAGATTCCATTGGATTATCACTTAAAAACTATGACTGCGATATGGAATGATTTCTATCGTAATTTCACATACTTAGTACTTGATAATACTTTGCTTCGAACGTGGTTAGCGAAGGTAAGAAGTATATGAATATTGTCTGATATATTTCATGGTGAAAAACTGTTGATATGTCATGGGTGGGAACAGACATCTAGAAACTAATGGAAAATCATATAAGTTTGCACTATGAGAAAATTCAGTAAAATATACCTGCTTTCATGATGAATATTGCTCACTAAAATATATATTTTATAAGATAATCATGTATATTTTATTGGAGTTGCTTTTACTGATTTTTGACGTTTGTTGATATGTCGCGTGTAAATAGACATGTAGAAACTATTGGACTGTCATTTAACTTTGCAGTATAGGAAAACATGTATATCTCATTGTAATAGCTTGCTTTGATTTTTGACGTTTAAAGATTGTAAACAGATCTATCCCAATCATTAAATAGTCATTTAGAAATGCCTTTTAAGAAATCCAACAGCAAGCATTTGTTTTTGCATGTTTTTCTGGGATGAATATCGCTCCCAATAAAATACATCTTACATGATTGTTCTTTATAAATTATTGAAACAATTTTCAACGATGTTAACGTACACTCATTCATATGATAATTGGTTCCAGAAAAGAATGTATTGAGATTGAAAAAAAAAATGATTCTACTGTAATATTTACTTTGCTATGATTCTAATTGTAAGCCTTCTACACGGCTAATTCAGATTCCAGCCCTAAGTAGTACTCGAACTTCATGAGCCAGTTCTATCAAATCATATAATTTAGTCGTTGATTTATTGCACACAGGTGCATTAAGAAAGATTTGAACAAACCACACCACCGAAACGGAACGTAAATTTGTCAGTGCTATTTGTCTTCACTCTAGCAAAACGAGCATAAAGTTGCACTACATTCCATGTCGGGAGAGCTGTTCTTACTTCATGCTATTTGAACGAGCTCAATCTTGAAGTCAGCCGTGGCCCAGTGGAATCGAGCACAGACACCGAAAGCATCACACCTCTACAGATCTTGATCGAATCCCAAATCAGCTACAATAAAAAAAAAGGCACAACTGTGAAAGCTCCCACTGCCTGATGTTTATTTTTCGAATTTATTTTTAGAAATCGATTAAATATATGTGTCAAAAGAAGAAGTAAATTTCATGTTATTTTCACATAAACTTTACTTCGATTGATTTATGACACATATATTATATTGTGGTGAAAAGTATAGCTTATGCTTATGGGTTTCAAATCCATTTCAGTTAATTATTATAATTTAATCGATTTTCATTTATCATATGACGATCATATAAAAGTTACCAAATTATCAGCATTGTAAATGTATCAGATATTGATATAGAATTTACCTGACACATTTTCAATCATATCATTTTCAATGGATTATCTTATAGCGCAAATTTATTAGACTTCCACATAACAGGAATATGTCAAATTCGTTCAGTGTAAACTTGAGAATTAGATGTGTCGCCCCCCTCGATTTTTTTCTAGATGAACGTGTCATTTGGACGGTACTAATGGATATTTTGGTCACTATTGAAAATTTAGTCAATTGATGAATTTATGTATGGGCCCAAATTAGGGGTATTTAGGTCGACATTACATCCATTTCCCCTACCAGAGCAATTGGCAGATGTTGGTGGTACATCGTTCCTGCTAACAACTAAAGTTGATTAGGATTTTTAGGCTCCGTATGAAAAGCAAGGGAAAGGAAACTAAACCCTTTTTATTCATCCGGCATATTAGGTATAGGTTGGCTGGTTGGTTGTCTTTATTAAGGAGAATTTCAGCCAGACGCTGGTTCATCTCCGCAACATATTAGGTAAGGGAATTTACGTATTCTCGGCAACCTAAGCAGCGACCTTCTTTCTATAGCCTTTTTCTCTAAGGAACGCACACATATGCAGCATTGGTTTGTTTACAATCTTTTGCTGCCAGCTGCTCTAACAATTTCAGTCGAAATAATTGACAAAAACTGTTTTGAAACGCTTTTACAAAGCTCCAATCTTCTCTAGTGAGAGCGAGTATTGTCGGCAACCAGTTTTTCTTCGGCAACCGTTCCATTTAAACTGTATGTAAATCTGCTGTTCTATTATCGGCAACTCGAAATCAGCTACAATTTGTAGTGCGTGTGTTGCATTTCAAGAAAACCTTGCTAGATTGCTTTTTCTCAGTGGTTAAAATATAGTCAAATTGAAGCTGAAAGCATAAAGAATCGTTTGCATGCATTCAGCGAAGTGTTTTCGTAAGAAAATCCAGTGAAAATAGTGTTTCAATTTGGGTTGCCGAAAATAGTCTGTCATGCCGAAGCCGTCATTCCCCTATATTGTTTTTTGATTTCGAGGTTGAATAACATTTAAATTCATTTATTAGCAGCTTAATTTCTTTCAAAACTGAGTTAAATTCTACTCAAATATGAGTTGTTTTCGATAGCTTTGTAGATATCGAGCTGTCTACTGCCAAGAACTTCATTTACAGTGTACTAGTTCGTGTCACTGTGGTGCTTTTATCGGATGAAAATTGTGCCTTGAGGATAATAGAAGAGTGGACCTTATTGTTAATTTATAATATTTTATAATCAAATTGATCTCATTGAATGTTACTGTTAGTAACTTTCCGTTTGATTTTCCAGTGCA